ACAGTTAAAGCCCAGCCAGTTAACCTTGCTAAACTCTCCCCTACACAAAATCTCGCTTGTCCCGGCTCCCTTCCCCCACCCCTCCCACACCACTGCTTTCACTTGTTTTTGCAGTTCAGCCCCTTCCCTCTCTGCTCTAACGGTATATCCTCAGTCTGCTTTACCGTGTCCTACGGTGTTGTCGCTTGCAGATTTACTTATACTTTTTCTTCAACCCTGAAGATGGGGGCGATACGTTCCTCCGAAACGTCGGTTAACACCACATATACACGGTGCCAAATCCCAGAAGACTGCTTTCTTCATAGTCACCGCCGTGAAAGCCTCAAATCTTACTTAATTCAAATACACCAATACAGTGACACGATTCCACAGTAGAATTTTACACTCGAAGATTCCAGGTCATCTGTGCGATCTGTGCAATGTTGTGTGTTGTCTGTGGTCTCGGGTCAACTGGAACCTGATCCGTGAATATTACCAGTGCTCAATTTTACGAACGGGCCCGCCCTGGTATATGACAGAATTTGTATTTTAGTATTAATTGCTAAGTATATGTGACATATCAGTTAATACAGTGAGATTATCATTTACCGTTTTCAATTAAAGGTGTGTATACAAGGAAACAGCTAAATTATAAATACATTAATAATAGAAATGTTAATACCGGTGAAAATGTGGAGAGTGTGGCGTAACGGTTGTTTTGTAGCCTAAGAATACAAGTGATAAACAGTTTGCATATTCGTAAAATTCTTGCTGTAATGGGTTTACGGTGATTGAATAAGAGCGAGAGTAAATGTAATGTGAGAGCTGTTTAGTTACCAAGTCACGAGCTGCTTGGGGTATGCCTGTGCCATGTACGAAGGTTAATCAGGTCAACGTCCACGCGTGAACCTCGAATGTTTAATGCTTCTGTCAGGAATTACAGTGTTTAACATATCAGATGGGTATAGTAGTTTTGTTGAAACAAGCCCTTTGGTTTTATAAATTTATATGGTATTTTATCATGTCGTTTGTAATGCAAGCTTATGATGGAATGTTGCCAGCAGTTTTAGTTGTGGTCAGAACCATGGGCTGTATATTATGATGCTTTAATCATACAGGACATACTGTTCTGAAATCAGGATTTATTAATAATAAATGTTGTTTCGTTAAGAGACGGTTTTTTATGACGCAGGTTGGCGTCCTGCATTATCAAAATACTGTAATGCAGTCTGATGTGTGGCAGTAGGTTATCAGTTTAAAATGTGGTCAACAACTGTTATCAGGAATAATATCAAGTTTAAGGTGTTATCAAATTTTATGCCTATCTTGGACTTTATTTCCTTTCTGCATACATAAAACATTGCAGTTGGTTAGTCCTGCACGTAAATATGTAGGAAGGAACAGTTCATGTACTTCTTCGTAGAGAGAGATCACACTACTGATGTAAGTAGCATATATCTATTATTGATATTTAGTATAAGGTATGAATACCAAGTTTGATGTGATTACTGAATTATTTTCGGTGAAAGCTGTTAAAGCCACAACAGCTCTTAAGGGCTAGTGTGAAAGATTGTCAACACACTTAGGCATAAGCGGTCTTAGAAAACGTTAAGCTGTCTGATCGTTGACTGAAATTTGAGTAAAAAAAAAGGTAGGGCTTTTCAAGAGGATGCAAGATACCATGTGTGGCACATTTTCTAATTGGGAGATACTCTGCAAAACTATTTAAAATATGAACCACATGATGGGCACATTTATGAACTTGTGAATTACGTATGAGCGATATTTGAACTACAGACAGTTCACAGTTCATATTTGTATATTTGCTACAGCACAACTTACAGCTGTACCATATGACACCAGTGTTTGGTGGCTGAACTTTGGTGAAATTTTCAAGAGATTGTGAGATTTACAAGAAGAAATACTAATGATCTTGAACATGAAAGATAAAGATTTAATGTTCCCACAATTAAAATATTGTAACATGTTTGGAGTAGATACTTCCATGGCAACGCAATAACAGTGGTCCGCTGTGTAGACAATGCAGAAACAACAAACACGTTTCCCCAGAGATGAACAACAGAAGGCCGTTGAGTACCAACGGATGAGACGAAACACGTTACCGCCGTAATCTATAGAGATCGTTCCTGAAGCAACGGATTGCCGAACAAGTGGGATTGAACCTTGGTGAATGGTGCCTCGTATCCGGTCCGCAGAACACCTACATGAGTTGAGAGTAACAGAGCTACGACGACAGTTGAGATCTAGCCTCCATAGATGACAGTCGAAATCTAGCCTTCATACAAGACAGTTGGAACCCAATCGAGACGTCGCAGAAGCCACGTGGTACCACAAGTGATAATACTTGTATGGTGTATAAATGTGAGTGTCCAATAAAGATTCGCTGAATCCGAGACCCACGTGAATTTATTTGTCGCGTGACATACCAAACATGTGAAAATATAAAGATTGGAAAACTGATGTACCTGGTTGACATTTTGGAATAGCTTAACAACTTAAATGTGATTTTTCAGTGAAAAGGCCTACATATACACAAGTTATGTACATCATTGCAGGCTGTCAAAGCAGAACTACTAGGGGCGTTCGGTAAATAATGCCTCCTATTTTTTTGTGTTAATATGTAACATCTGAGATGGATGTTGGTGGTGTTGTAGTAAAGGTTGAACCTTCCTGTCAATCTACTCTTCGTTTGGTTGTCGTGCAACAGATAGTGACAACAGAGCAGTCTACCAAAATGGTGTCTGACATAGAAGTGTGTATGAAACACAGATGTGTTATTGAATTTCTCACTGCCGAACAAATTGTACCCACTGACATCCATCGACACTTGCTAAAGGTGTATGGAGACAATACAATGGAAGTCAGCACAGTGAGGTGGTGGGTAGTGCGTTTCAACAGTGGCGAAAGTGAAGTGCACGACAAGCCACGCCCTGGGCATCCCTGCTCAGCTGCCACTCCAGAGTCAGGCCAAAGAAGCAGACAACCTTTTGCTTGCAACACGATATTGCTAGACCCCATACAAGTTTGGCGACCACCGCGCACATCGCAAAGTTTGGCTGTACTGTCCTACCACATCCACCTTATAGCCCTGGCTTAGCACCTTCAGGCCAAAGAAGCAGACAACCTTTTGCTTGCAACACAATATTGCTAGACCCCATACAAGTTTGGCGACCACCGCGCACATCGCAAAGTTTGGCTGGACTGTCCTACCACATCCACCTTATAGCCCTGGCTTAGCACCTTCAGACTTCCATCTCTTTGGGCCTAAGAAAGATGGACTAAGTGGGCAACACTTTCCAGACAGTGATGCTGTCATTGCAGGTGTAAGAAAGTGGCTAGGCTCTGGTGGCGCAGACTTTTACGGGCACGGCATACAGGCTCTTGTTAATCGCTGGCAAAAGTGCATAATGAATGGTGGTGATTATGTGGAAAAATAACTGTAAGTAGCTGAAATCTTGCTCTATTTAACTGCATTATTATGCTTTCTGTATCTGTTGTAGTTTTCTTTAAAAAAATAGGAGGCACTATATACGGAACACTGTAATACTAAAGGAGAATAAATTTACACATTTTTATATTTTATGGAAAATATTTGCAGGTTGTAGTGTGGCCATTAAATACTGTAACATTCTTAGCTAATTTCATGAAGAATTCAGCAGGCAATTTAAAATTTTCCAGAAAGCAGAAAACTAAACTGAACTCTTTGACTTATCCATTCTCACTTGGTGCTGAGGAAGCTTCATACAGGACTAAAATAGATCATTTCTGTGAAGTGGGCAAATTATTTGGACTGTTATAAGATTATGGATACAGCATTTTCAAAGACTTTGGGAAGAAGAGAACAGTTTTTACATCAACATAGAACTGTGAACAAACATTTGCTTTAATGAAGTTGAACATACAGATTTAAGAGTACATATGAAGATAACTGTTTGGCTCTGGGCTTGTTTGTTGTAACTTCAGCATTTGAACCAAATACAGGAAAGCTTGACAGCATTTGTAAGCAACACCATCTTTAGCTTTAATTTCATGAGTAGTGGTAATGAAACCTACTGAGACCTGTCAATGCTGCAGATACTGTGTGACTCACACCCATCATCAAAATACTAAATGATGAACACCAGGCATGTATGAACCTCCCAAACATGTACAGCTAATTGAATTTGGTCAGAGTAGCTGCATTGTTTGTTGTAATAATTTGAGATACTTCCTCATATTTTTCCCAAGACTTAATGACATGTGGTTGTAAAAAATTATGATGATATGGCCCCAACTTGATATTTGCATATACTTCAAGTAGTAGTTACATGGACACTGTATGTTAAAAAAGAGATTAAAATATTGCAGTTGAGAAATACAAGGTTGAGTTTGAAGACCTTGAAAATAACTGTTCTAAATATGTTAGTAGTACGTCATTGTAAAGGGCGAGTTATTAGTCTTGAAATGAACATAAATGATGTGTGTCTGAATTAGGCCAGAAGTTATGCCAATTTTTCTAATACAGCTTATGTCAAAAAAAAATGTGCAAGCAGCATTAGATATCTGCTGCCTAAATTACAGTGGCCTGAAATAATAAATGTTAGCATGAATATGTGGGACTATAGCCTCACGAAAAATCAGAGGGCATCAGATTGGAAATGTCACCACTTTTCTCTGCTAATTTGATGTGGAGTGACCCTGGTAGAGAAGTGTTAGATGTGATAAGACATACAGAGATTGTTCAAGGCAAGGAATCTGGATCTCAAATAAGACTGTTAGAGTTTTATGCTTTGTGGCCCAAACTGTTGTGTTCCAGGTGGACTGGTACAGTATATTAACTGCCTTCACTTCATATCCCCCACCCCAAAAGAATTCTCTACTCAGAATCACTGAGGTTGTGTTAATGATTTATTATAGGTTAAATTATTGCAGTGCAGAATATTGTCACATGATTGGAGTGACTATAGACAGGGATTCGGTTGGTAATTGGATTTATTGAACCCTTACAGGTTGTAACTACAGGGTGCGTCAATGAATTGGGCGATTTTAAAAACGTTATGAATAGTAAACTGTTGCATTTATTTGGTTTTAACGCATATGAATACAGTGTAAACATAAAAGTATTTGGTTTTTCTCAGTTAACTCACTGAAAACAGAAGTCTGTTTCCCAAAAATAACATCCGATAGATGACCACCATTCTGCTTTAAGCCCTTGGTAAGTCTCTTCCTAAAGTCACTCATTACTCTTTGCAGCATCTCTATGGGAATTCATTCTGCTTCTTCCCGAATTTGATGTTTGAACTGGGTGGGGTGCTGGAGCTTTGAAAACTTGGGATTTCAGATACCCCCAGAGAAAAAAAAATCACATGTGGAAAGATCAGGTGACCTGGCTGGCCATAATATTTCCCAATATCTGGAGATAACATGGTTAAAAAACAGGTTATTCGCAACTGCCATGGAAGCTTGTGCGGTGTGGCACGTAGCCCTATCTTGCTGGAAAAACGTTTCTTCCTTAACTAGAAGATGAGAAAGTGCAGGAGCTAAGAAGCTCTCCAACATGTGAACGTAATGTGGTCCAGTCACAGTTACAGCCCTTTCCCACTCATCTTCAAAGAAGTACGGGCCAATAATTCCAAACTTATATATCGTGCACCATACTGCGGACTTTGGAACTGTGAAGTGGTCTCTCATAAATTTCTTTGGGGTTTGTGGCTGACCAGTAGCAGAAATTTTGCTTGTTATCAAACCACGACAAAAGGAAATGAGCTTCATTGCTCATCAAAGTTGTTAACAAAATCTTGGTTTTGAGTAATGAATTGCAAAAAAGGCTGGCAGAAATCAACTCTGTTTTCATAGTTGTGTTTGTGTAGTGCATGAATAATTTGAATTTTATAGGAGTAGAAGTGGAGATCTTTGTGCAAAATCCGTCGAACGCTGACTTTGGACAGCCCGAGTGATGTAGCGTGGCAATGCACAGACCGGCGTGGACTTCGTTCAGTGGCTTCTCTTACTGCCACTACATTCTCGGGTGTACGTGCTGTTTTTACGCTGCCACCTTTCTTCTTTAGTGTAGAACCAGTAGCCTCAAAGTTTTGAACCCAGGTCTTGATGGCATGGACAGATGGAACAGCATGATTGCGATGAATACAAAACTCTTCAAAATTCATGCTGAGCAATCACGAAACTGTCACCGTTTTTGTGAAATGCTTTCACAGCAAAAGCACGTTGTGCTCCAGTCCATGGCCCCATTGCAACTAAAACACTTTGAAGTAGGCTGCTGGGTGACAGTAGTGGCATCTTCCCCACTCCAACCAATCCATGAAAAAACACCGTTGCCAAATCGCCCAATTCATTGACTCACCCTGTAAAATGTCTGTGACAGTCTCACTTGAGTTACACACTCCAAAGATCACTGTAACTACAGCACACATAGTCTTCTCAGTTTGCAGTCTTCGCCAGTCATTGCGTGGTGATGGATCTGAACCATGGCCTCTGCTTCTGTGCTCACATTCTTACCAGCTGAAGACTGTCTCACAAATAACTCATTGCTTCATCTGTTCTGCTTATAACATCTTGGCACAGACTGCACAGAAAACACCATACCTCTGTTGCTCTTTCCATTTTTGCATTCCTCTCTGTTGGGATGCCCACGTGATTGCTTCTCAGCTATTGCCTAGCAGTGGCTATTGTATAACTGCTTGTCCCACAGTCATTGCCTAACAGTGGGTCTTCATGCCACAATATCATTAAAATCAGAGATATATATATATATATATATATTTGTTCCATTCAGTGTTTTGGCCTAGAATGCCGTAGTTTGCCAGATATTGCCAAAATACTACAGCCTGCTTAGGTGACATGACACTTCTTCCTGAGGGACTTCTATTATGACTGAGTTTTTTTTGGGGGGGGGGGGAGATGTGGTGTCTGTATCTTTCCAGGAACATACCTGAATATTACTCTGAAAGGGATTGTGGAGCCTTTCAAATTGTTAACCTCTCACCATATATTATCATCTTCCAATCCCTTTCAACACTGTGTAAGCTCTACAGTTGAATTAATATTAAATAACCTAAGAATTATAAAAGAAATGACAGGCAGTAGGTTTATTTTGTTGTCCTTAAACTTTGTGTGAATGTCATCCTTCATGCATTTAATTCCCTGCCTTCAATAGTATCAGTATGGTCATGAGAGAATTATAGAATAATAATTGTTAACACCGTTCAGTGTGATTCAATTTGTAGATATTTATTGCCTTTACATGTTTCCGCCAGCTGACTGTCTTCAGAAGACATAAGATCAACATGTTCAGGAACAACTATTACATAATTCGTAAAACATTCTTAAAAGTTTTTATATGAAGACTATTACAATTATTTGGGTTAAAAGTTTATTAATGTTTAATATGTAAGATCTTGAACATTTTAATTCAAATAATTGTAATACTTTTTATATAAAATCTTTTAAATATATATTACGAATTATATAATATTAGTTTCTGAACATGTTGGTCTGATGCCTTCTGAAGATGGTCAGCTGACCGAAACATGTACAGGCAATAAATATTCACAAATTGAATCACACTGGATGGTGTTAAGAGTTATTATTCTATAATTTAGTTTACTAGCTTGATGGATCAGAATGAATAAGAGTTAAGATTGTGACAGCTTTCACTGAGACAGGATCTATGAGTATATGAGTGTATGTTTTGCACAGAAATATGTCATTAAGATGCATAGTTAGCATTAATTTATAAGTCCTGCTTCTCCATATAGCTGGAAGCATTCGAAAGGAAATGTGTTATAGGTTCTTTCCAGAACCTGTTTAAAGTGTGTGTATAAATGACTAACCCAATTCACTGTTCATTCAATACATATCTGTGCTGTGTATTATCAAGATAAATAATTGTAATTGCTCATTTACATATACAGGGTGTCCCAGGAGGAATGGTCAAAACTTCGGGAGGGTGTTCCTTATGTTAAAGTATGCCGATATAACCCAAAACACCTATGGCCAAAGTTGAACGGTTACGGAGATAATGGCACGAGAAAAGTGTGGTCTTCTGGCGGGTCCACGCACTGTACCTGTCAAATGAGACGCCTTATCTATGTTTGTCCTTGAGTGCAGTGCTTCACACTAGCCGTAAACTCATGTGCTACGTATAGAGTATGTTGCGGCTGCGTTGTGAATGGTTGGTAATTGTGCGAAGTTGCTGAAATATCTTTTGTGTTTTCACACATTGAATATTGTGATATGCATTTTGTGTATGGATTTTGTGGTGGCAATGCACGTGCTGCTGTTGAAGAGTACCAAAGGCGTTTTCCCGATTGAAGGATTCCATCTTGAAGTGTATTTACGCGAATTCACCAGACAATGCGTGATACTGGTTCTCTTCGGAGTGTTTCTGTGCAGTCTGAAAGGGAGGATGTATGATTGATAAACACACGAGAGAACATTCTTGAGATGGTTCAGAGAAGTCCGTGTCTGTCCACTCGTAGAATGGCCTCTCGCATCGGCATATCACATATGCAGGTGTGGCGAACTTTACATAATGAAGAGTTGTATCCTTACCATGATCAAAGGGTACAACATCTGGAACCAGGTGACCATGCACAGCGTATGGATTTGTGCCACTGGATAAAAGCTCTTCCCGAACTGTTAAGCATCATTTTATTCAGTGATGAGGCGTCTTTTACCCTGGACGGTGTAAATAATTTACGAAATGTGCATACGTGGTCCCATAATAATCCACATGAGATAATGGAAACGATATTCCAAAAAGATTTTCCGTGAATGTACGTTTAATACAGTTATGTGGTCGGCTTATAGCGCAGTCAGCCATGTTACATCAGCGTTTGCCAGTCATGTGTCATGTATAGTGCTTGGAAACCCTAAGTACAATTATGACATGGCGAGCAAGTATTTTTTACTTCAATTTTATCGCTTCATGTCACTCACAAGTTAGTTTGATGTTACGTACATTATTAACATTACAGAAACCACATATTCCTGCCAGTTTTAATATGTATTTTGTAATCAACAAGTGTGTAACACCGGTCAGAGTTTCACACTTCTCTGGCCATTATCTCCGTAACCGTTCAACTTTGGACATAGGTATTTTGGGTTATATCAGCATACTTCAACATAAGAAATACCTTCCCGAATTTTGACCATTCCTCCTGGGACACCCTGTATAAGTATAAGGAAGTAACCTTCACAATTTTTCTGAGTATATGTATTTTATATTTCCAGTTGTGATCATGGCTGCAGTTAATGTTTATTCCACAAATGTGACTACAGATAACCTTAGTCGACATGATATGTTGGCATGGGTTAATGATTGTTTGGCATCAAACTTTACCAAGATCGAAGAACTGTGCACTGGTGCAGCATATTGTCAGTTTATGGATATGCTTTTCCCAGGCAAGTTATCCAGATTGTATCTGAAAACAGTGAATACATGTAGATGGCTGTTGTTGTCTGTAGACTATAACAAAGTATACTGACTATATGTGAATTGCTATAGGAAAACATTTAGGTATGCCACCCACAAAAAAATCAACTGTAGCTAGGTGTTCATTTGTACTGACTGAGTCAGTGACTCATTGATGACCTAGTAATCACAAGTGTGCCATGTGGTAGCTACTGGCCCAATTAAATGGCATGGTGTCCAAATACAGGAAGCAAATTCTGGTTATATTCTTGATTTTTTTTTGTTTTCCAAGATTTGTGCCATATAAACAACTGCTCCAATTAGCTGGAATCCACTGTATTCAATGTCATATCCAACAAATGTGTTTTCAGAATGGCAGTGGTTTGAATCCCGTGTGGCTAAATGGTGTTTAATATGTAGCTCCTTCTCACATAACCAGTTATCAAGAAGGAAATCACCCAGTCCATGACTGGAGAGTGTTGTCACTTGGTTAATGTAAACAGTGACTCACTGTGTTTGAATTCTTAAGGCAGATATCCTGTTCACAAAGTATTTTTGCTGCCTGTTATGAAGCATCAGTTTGTAAAGTGATTTTTGGAGTTATTGTTTATGCAGGGGCAAGTATTCATACTTGATGATGATTGTAAAAAAAGAAAGGTGTGTGTTTCATTTGCCAAAGGAGAAGGTGTCATGGGGCTGGTGTGTTATTTGTAGTTATGCTTGTAAAGTAATAATTGTTGTGTATAGTTCTGTAGGAAAATATGTGTCAGAAGAAGAATGGAGAAAAGTTGATTTGCCAGAGTTCCAAGACCTAACAACCAAAAATTCTGTGGGCCAAAGTGAAATGTGTAGTGATAAAGAGAAATAGAACATCGCTGATGAATGATGAATATGATAGGGTGGCGCAGAGTGTCTAGTCACAGATATAAAATGTGCATAAAATCTATAAGAAGATGCACAAAAGAATGCAGTGAAACAGAGGCATTTCATAATGACAGTAGCAGTGACAATAACAGTGAACCATTAGTTGTTCATGTGGATTTAAATGGAATGTGCTTATCATATTGTGTTTAATAAATCAGTATTGTACAAGTATATATTTAGTTCATCTCTTACAATACAGTAAGAGATGACGTGGTAGCAAAGTTGGTTGAGGCACAATGCTACAAGCCAGAAGGTTGTGGGATCAAATCCCAATGAGGTCATGGGATTTTTTTAAATTTACCTAATCGTTACAGCCACACTATGGCCCTGGGGTTGACTCACCCTCTAACAGAAATGAGTACCATGAATATTCTTGAAATATTTTTGGGGGGTAAAGGGCGGCTGGTGCGTAAGGCTGACAACCTTGCCGCTGTCTATGAGCTGATTGTCTAGAAAATGTGGGAACCACAACATCTCACAACCCTATGGCTGTCCACGGCCTGTTACAGGGATATCTTTACTTACTTTACTTACAGTACAGTGATATCTCCTTGTAGTGTGCAAGTGCCAACAACGCTGCTAACTCACCTTTGGCTCCTGTCAATTGTTCTGTGATTTGAATCCTTGTATAGTGTGCGTGTGCATGTGCATGCGTGAGGTGGGGCAGGGTGGTGGTGTGCATGCACTCACAGTGGAGGGATTATGGGGGTGATCATTTATTCCATCTCTCAAACATCACAGGGCAAAGAATACTTGTGTAACTCTTTGACAAGGCAGCAGAAGAGCAGCAAATTTAATTTTGTATTAGATTAGGTTTAAAACTTGAAACCACTCTTTTCATTATAGATGTGAGTCACAGATGACCCTGTATAAAGCTGCAATATTAATCATCACATGAAAAAAGTAATATAATAGAAAGGTGAAAAGGAAAGTGAACATGAAAAAGAGTAAACTTTCATGTTTTTTGTTTAAAGTTTACACATTTGTTTTTGCAGGTAGTGTTGTCATGAAGAGGATCAAGTTCAGAACTAATCTGGAACATGAGTACATTCAGAACTTCAAGATCCTTCAGGCAGCATTCAAGAAAATGTCTGTAGATAAGGTGAATATTAGTGAAATGTAAATGGTAAACATTGTGTTTCCCACTAATTTCAAGGAACCTCTTTCCAGCGTGAATTGTTGATTATCTATTATATGGAGGTGTGACACAGTTTATTAATATATTGTCATGTTCGGTTTTATGCATATTGAGATGAATATTTTTTAATTAGTGTTTTGTGCTGTCTTGTGGTCACAAGTTATTTTATTATTGCTAGTGGGGTGGGACTAAGTCCCTTGTACTGCGGCCACTTCTGGCCTGTTATATCAGCCCCAGATGATAGGTGAGGGTGATTGTGGAGCAATTGATGGAATGAAGATTGGCAGGAGAAACTGAAGTACTCGGAGAAAACCTGCCCCTGCGCCACTTTGTCCACCACAAATCCCACTTGACCAGACCCGGGATCGAACCCGGGCCGCCGTGTTGGGAAGCCAGCAACTAACCTGGTCACATGTCATACAGGATGTCCCAGGAGGAATTTGCCAGACTTCGGGAGGGTGTTTGTTATGTTAAAGTATGTTGATATAACCCAAAACACCTATGTCCAAAGTTGAACGCTTATAGAGATAATGGCCCAAGAAAAGTGTGGTCTTCTGATGGGTCCACGCACTGTACCTGTCAGCTGACAAGTCTTATCGATGTGTGTCCTTGAGTGTGGTGATAACGGCTCACACTAGCCGCATACACTCGCATACCAGAATGCACAGTCAGCCATGTTATGTCAGTGCTTGCAATTCCTATGTCATGTATAGTGCTTGGAACCCTAATGACAACTGTGACATGGCATGTGAGTTTTTTGTAGTTCAATTTAATGGTTTCATGTCGCTCACAAGTTAATTTGATGTTACGTACATTATTAACATTACCGAAACCACATATTCCTGGCAGTGTTGTGGCGCAATTTCAAGACTGAAAATAAAAAAAAAATTGCCTAAACGTTACGAAAAGCGTTTACAGCAATCAAGCTAGAATGGCGACACTTGGACAGGCGATTGAGGTCAGGAATGTTAGAGTCAGCAAGGGCGCGCAATCGCTCCACTTTAGAAGTGACATTGTAAACACTGGGAGACCGTGAACTTACAAAATGCAAGGAGGGCGGCACCTTGTTTTGTCCGCGACAAGTCGGATTTAGCCAATTAGAATATACCACTTTAGAACTTGAGGACGAAAGGAGGAGTTAACCTCCCTCTTTCGCCAACTGCAGTGCCAGCAAAATTAGTGTATAAAAATGGAAAGAAAAGTCAGTGGGGGATCTGATCTAAAAACGTAATAACCAGTTGTCAGCCGGAGGCTTTATTCGATGTGGGTCTTACAAGCGGAGGTGTTTAGCTTGCGTCTCTTATCTCAAGTAAGTCACGTTTACTCACATGAGCCATGCTGTTAAACTTTATGGTTGTTTGTAAAGTGTTATTTGATACATGTGAAATCATGTAACAAGTAATAGGCAAGGTTGCTAGGGGAGTAAATATGGTAGACATTAGATAGTGTGTTATGACTATTGATAAACACATACGTAGGCTGTAGATGTATGGGTTTAGGAGAAAAATATTTTAAGGGGAAGTTTTATGATAGAATAATGGCTAATTGTGAAATGAGTCAAAACAGTAAGGAGAAAGAGACAGACAGACTACACAGACACAGAAGTCCTACACCCCAGAAGGGGAGATCATGATGAAGCATAGCGTGGTGCGGTAAAGGCACTGTGTAAGTCCCGACAGAGTCAGTATTGTTAATATTGTAAATAGAATACAAATGAAAGTGTAAATAGATCAAGAACCTAGGGTAGGACAGAGATGGCGTGTCGAGTAATAGTAATGCAGAAAGTGACAGTCTCAAGCCTGCTGCTCCAGGCGAGAGACTAGAACGGAGTCAGAACTATCACACCCCGAGACCAAGTGTAAACCGACAGACGTCAGCATTCATTTATTGTAAATAACTGTGTAAATAGATCAGTGTACTTAGGGTAGGATGTACACAAGGAGTTTTGATTTACTTCCCCGAATCACCCCGTCCACAACCGATCCAAAGCGATCCTGACCCAAGCGAAGGCAGAACTGACCCCAGTCGACGGCGGCCGAATGCAGCGAACATCCTAACGGAAATTGTTGTGACGGACTAAAGTAGTAATATTTTCTCACCCCCTTTAGGTATAACAAAGTGATAGCAGAGGTGGGGATCTGCCAACGCAAGGTGGCTGACGTAGAGAAAGAGTAACTGTGTTTGACTCACCCCTTACATTGAAGCATTACGTATGACAACGGCGGTAGGTCGAGTCGACGAAGCGTTGACTGACGTAGCGAAGCGACTAGCCAAAGTGAAATGGCAGCCGTAATGAATTAGTAGTTGTATTTAACCCACCCCCATCACTTAGACATAATTGGCGACAGCGGTGAGGTACCCAATCGACCCGTCGCAGAGGTGTAATATATGGTGTGACAGTCGATAGGTAGAGGCGAGTCAGACCCGACACACCCGCTCTACGCCAATAATAAGATGGTGGCAGCTGTATGCAATGAAGGAAGTCCAGAACCAGGAGAATCCTAGCTGAGGGTAATCGAGGATTATTGTGTTAACCTCTTGCAGCATAAGATGTGGTGGCAAGGAGGGATACCTCCACGCCCCCTTGTCACAACGGCATAATAGGCAGTTTTAATATGTATTTGGTAATCAACATGTGTGTAACACCTGTCAAAGTTTCATGCTTCTCTGACCATTATCTCCTTAACCGTTCAACTTTGGACATAGGTGTTTTGGGTTATATCAGAATACTTTAACATAAGGAACGCCCTCCGAAGTCTGGCACATTCCTCCTGGAACATTCTGTATATTTAACTTCTATTATATGGGACATTTAAATTACACACAGTTAGCTGGAATGGTTTTCCATATAAATGTTCATTTCTGCAGTGGGTTATTAATGTAAGGTGTGTTTAATACATTTTTTAGGCTAGATCTTCAAGTGAAAAGTGCTTTGATGAGAGTCAATCCATTTGCCTGTCTATGAAGTTTTGAAACAACTAAATAGTGTATTGTATGTTCCTGTGCAATGACTTGTTTCACATGTTTTATTAATTTTTTCTTTTACAGTTGTAAATATTTGTTACTTTGTTTAGAGCATGATGCTGCAGTCCTTAAGATGGAACTGCATCGACAACTGTGGGTTCCAGGAAATGTATGACTGTCATTCACTCGATCAAGGGCTACATAACATAAACCCTTCTGTTGACAGTTGCTGCCTTTGTTAGCTGTTCATAGAATCAAGGCCTAGTGAAACAATTTATGTGGCTCATGTCTGTTAGCAAGCCTTCAATGAGAAAAGGGACTATACCCAGTTTCATCCTTTCTGATAAAATCACAGAAAATATTGTTTAATGCTTGCACTTTTTCATGTATATTCAGGATAGGAAATTGATAGGAATGATGGTAGTGAATATTTGAATCCCATTGTTTTTTAAGTTGGTGAGTTTATCTATGATTTATGTCTGAGTTTTGTGTATTATAATTTTATGGCATTGTGTCTTCCACTCAGCAGTTCAGTTTTATTCCTTGAGTAGCAGGTCTGTACACAGGAAGCAATTGTTTTTATTCCTTGAAAGGCAGGACATAACATTCGTTACGTCCTGTTACCAGAAGACACTATTTTCAGAGTAATGTGTGACGATTAATTTAATTCCTTCCAAGTGCATGCACTTCTAGAAGAAGATATAGCACAGACTGTTTTTGAGATGCTTGAGCCTGCTGCGAATCAGCTGAAGATGTAGATGTTCATCCTCCCCAGGGGCAGATAGACTACACATTATGGACTGATGATAATACACAATCTCAACCTTCAGCACCTGCAGTCCACAGGTTTGAAGGGGGTCCCACTGAATTAAGACAAAACAAAGCAGCACCTGTTACAAAAGACTACTCCATCATGCATTTTAATGCCTGAAATTATGTAACTGTTGGTAGAAGAGACCGATATTACCAACCCCCAGTCACGCTTAATGAAAGACATTCCCCACTGCCAGATATGACTATACAGGAAACGTGCTTGTTTTTACCAATTATTTTACAGATGAGGCATGGTCAGACAAACCATGAAAGAATCTGGTCCATACTAGAGCAGTTCTTAAGGCTTTACATGGAGAAAACAATGAAACAAGACAGATTGATTCATATTCTGAGATTTCTGTGCTTCGGTGACAACAGAAATGTGCCTGATGAGACATAAAAATTAAAAATGTATGAAAAATGACAACTGTGTTTTGATGAGCTCAGTGATGGACATGCTAAATATTTTAGTCAAACAGGATGTTCAGTTGGTTATATCATTGTGCTGTGGTACTGTGCAAGAAACCAGTGTGAAAGTAGGTGTTCTGCTTGCCACCTGCTTACACACAAGCTTCTTGCTTGGCTTATTCTTTGACCATGAAGATGGGGGCAAGATGTCCCTCCAAAATGTCAGTTGACTTTCAGTGGATGACACAGCATTATATCTCAGAAGATAGAACTCTTCATAGAAATATTCTATATAATGGGTACACAAATCCAAAAATGGTTGGAAAATATAATCTTCTAATAATATGCAGTGCTGTAGGATATATTTGTATAATGGGGCAGTCTACACAACAATATTCATGAAAAACAAAATATGCACTATTATATCAANACATAACATTCGTTACGTCCTGTTACCAGAAGACACTATTTTCAGAGTAATGTGTGACGATTAATTTAATTCCTTCCAAGTGCATGCACTTCTAGAAGAAGATATAGCACAGACTGTTTTTGAGATGCTTGAGCCTGCTGCGAATCAGCTGAAGATGTAGATGTTCATCCTCCCCAGGGGCAGATAGACTACACATTATGGACTGATGATAATACACAATCTCAACCTTCAGCACCTGCAGTCCACAGGTTTGAAGGGGGTCCCACTGAATTAAGACAAAACAAAGCAGCACCTGTTACAAAAGACTACTCCATCATGCATTTTAATGCCTGAAATTATGTAACTGTTG